TTCTCAGATTAACACGCCGAATTTTAATTAAGCACGATTTCCAATGATTACTTTATAAATTTAGATTAGGAGATCCTCAGGGCGTCATCTCAGGCATTCGCCGACCTTCATGGCATGGAGTGTTTCCTGTCTTACGATTTTGATTTATCTAGCACGCAAGCGACTCCTTTGACGAATCTTTATATTGGTCGACTCGCCACTCAAAATCCATATGACGTCCTTATCCTTCTAATTTAGAGAATTACTAGGAGAAATGGCAGAACTGGTTGTCTAACAGAAAGATTCATTCGTTGGAAATATCCCATAAAGGCAGTCTCACCGAAATACAACCGCTCAGTATTCAGACCACTGTCACTAAAACAACAGAGAAAATTTGGACCTTCAGTTGAGTCAAATCACTTCTATAGACGCTCAAAATGAAATAGTATCGAGTTACATTCTATGAAATGTTTACTATTTAGATATATGAAGATTAATCAAGAAAATCGGGACTTCCGATGAAGAATCTCACAAGCAATGCAAATAGTTCGTCGTCACTCTTTGTCAAAGACATAAGTGGATCAATGTGGCCGATATATCTGATGAGCTCCTACTTCAGAAGCTGCTGAATGGCGTGGAGGATGATGAAGTTAGCCCGACACACCGTCACTGTGGCGCAGCAGGAGTTCCGCTCTAAGCCGTGCCTCTCACAGAACAGCTCGCTGCCTCGTTCCCATGGCGTTGCGAACTGAAATCACGAAGTATTCCCCAGGACTACGGATCTTCGAAGTACAAGTTCTAAAATATTGTGGATTACTGAGAACTTGGCTTCTCAAATGCTTCTTGACACTTTTTTACCAGTTTTATTTTTCAATGACATCTTAGATAAGCTACAAGTGATCATCGAATCCAATATGAAGGGGTCAAATATTCGTCTTTCTTCCTTCCATTTAATACAGCATCATATAGTGCCTATTTATTATCGAACAGCTCGAGAATTATATGGTGGTATTTTGCTCACCTCTTCCGGAAGATGTCTACCAAGAGCTGAGAGCCATCCTCTGGCATCAGCTATGACCTCCCCCTGAAGGCAATCCGCTAGGCCAAATAGAAATGCATCCGCCAGAACATATCTGTGCTCTTGGCAAGGAAAGCCTAAAATTATATTTCAAAAATTCATTAAGATGTTTTATCAGGTTTTCATGCAGGCAAACTACAGCTTTGCAATGAGGGAAAATTTTACAGTTACATTACACTGTTACCCAGCACTGTTGAAATCGATTTCGGCTGAGGAACGCTTTCCTTTGTAACATTGTCTTGCCTAGTTAGTACTTGTAACTGTGAAAGGTACTAACATATAAAACCCCAGGTGCATTGTGTGCTATTCATGCGCAAGTTGGAGTGAAATATACGATGTGCTCATGCTCATTCAGTGAATTTCATTTTCATTGCTTCACTTAAAGGCGCAAAGCTTTTCTCATTCATTTCCTATTCTCATTTTTCTAGGCAACAGAAGTGTAGAATTACACCACAAAATCTCTAGAGCAGCACATGAACGCTAAGGTATTTTAACCACTTCCGAAATTGGTTGCCTTATTGAAATACATAGTAAAATGCTTTTGCGAACAAATCTACACTTTCCGGCATAATCGAGGCCCAGCGAACGAGCGAGATGTTGCGTGGCAGCGAGCATGTCCCGTAACTCCTGTTTTAGGCAGATGATCCAACGACGGCCGTCTTCATCAGTAAGTATGTATGGATCTAGACACATCTAGTATTATCGCACATTTATGCAGTCGGTACTCTTGTAATGAAAAGGTATTGAAGTCTCACTTTTGTCACCCATGTATAGTCGGTTCAAACGGGCATCGTTGTTTTCCGTCTAAAATGAGGTATAATATAAACATAACTTGTACTTGAGCTCCTAAATCAGTAAAAAGAAGAGTGCACTACTCATTTATTGTTCGATGACACATCTTGCTCCAAAAACCGAAGAAGAGGTGTGAAGGCTTAAAACATGCTCAAGAACATACTTTTTCCGAATAGAGGCCAACACTTATTCCTTGACTACGGGCGATGTCGGGCTCACATCGTCCAAGAATCTCCGTCACAAGCTTAAATTCAACACAGTGACACTTTGATCGAAATCTCCTATCTTATGCAACTGTCTCTACAGCTCTACATACCTGCCTCTTATCCATTTGTGTGAAGCCAATGGTTAGTGGGATGCGATGTGTCTCATTCGCATGGAATTCCGCTCTGTGTCTTTGAATTTCATTAGGAATTTGCCACGGTCCGACAAGCGTGAAAAACTGAAATCCCACTAAGATATCACGTGCTGGTTCTTAATAAAATTTTAGGCAAAAGCAAGCATATAGTGCTTGTTCCTTAGAAAACAGAAGTGCTCTTTGTAAGCACTCAAGTAAGAAGCTCTTTTTATTCTATGAACTGTACATGAAGCCAATCGGATTTCTGCTGTTGACCGCTTTATGTTTCTTCGTTCTGTTCTTTTCCAACTTATCATGACAGCATTTATGATAGCATAGCATAGTAGGTTGCTCTCCAGTCTAGCAAACATTAAAGTAACATTCACTTTTTATCGGAAACCCTTTCATGCCAGGCTCTGAATCCTTATTGAGTACAAGAAAGCGAGTCCTGTGCCAGACCTTAGAAATTTGAATTAGGATCATTCATAGTGCCTTGGAAGAGCTAACTTTCCGTTAACCCGTTTACTCAAGGAGGTAGGAATAATATTCTTAGAGCACCTTGTGCAATCCTTCGTTCTGGAAGGGGATTAAGTGGTGGGTCAAGAGGGTTGTTCAACAAATTTCACTTAGACGAGGAGTTGATCGAATGAAATCGCAGTAATTGACACCACCAGGCAAGTTTTCTACTAAATGCTAGAGCGGAAAGATTTGCGATTTCCTTGGCAGCACTATGGTCATATGTGTGTCGTTTGGGAAAATCTGTGCTTCTTGTAATATGACGAAACGCAACGGTAAACTCAGAATTTACGTTAATGTGCGGTCCACTTATTACCAAGTTGTCAACAATATTTTAGTTGAATTTATTTGTTAGAACCCCGAATTTTTGAATCATCATTGTGATTTCTCAATGGAATTCATTTTAGGACTTATTTTCCAACGGTCGTTGACGGAAAGAGCGTCTACCTATCGTGTTTTCTGGGTGTTATTTTAGAAATGACAACTATGTAGAACGATATGAGAAAATCGAGCAACCATGAGCGAAAGGTCTATGCCTACAATGAGTCAAAATGATTACACTACCGCCTTTATTTGCGTTTCTGACTATGTGTACCTTGAATAAAGAAACCCTGCCAACGGTTTACCGTCTTTTCGTGGCTGAGAGGTGTTAATGGGTGTCGGGAAGCAATGTGCAGCGGAGAGTCAGGACTCCAAGGGACCACAATGGCTAAACCAGAGAGACTTTGAAAGAAAACGGAAGCTATGCTGAGACGCGCACAATCACTGAAGACTGGCCACCCAAGGAAGCAGGTAAATAATGAAACGCAACCCGGCTCATTTGTCACGTGTGAACGAAGGATACGCTGAAGAGTCCCACGGTTTGCTCACTGAAAGCAATGAGAAAGTTTTTAATCAGCATATTTTCTTTCGTAGTTTAGCTACCAAGTAGGAAGCGTTGGCTATGCAGTGAAGGGTCTCTCATCGCAATTGCTAATCCCAAAATATTTATCGTCATTTGCCTGTGGTGCTCGTGGAAGCAACATCAAGCGAGATGCCGTCAAAAATAGAGACTTTACTTCGGGAGCGACAAGTAGTGGGAGGACCAATTTATTCAACAGCCTGGATCGAGTCTTCATTGTATGAATATATGCCTAAGTGCCATGTGTTCCATGCCTGCTATCGTCATTATGAGATTGTTTTGAACTGCTTTCAGAAATAAGCTTAAAAGGCAGGCAAGTATCCGTCCATTCTTTACCATCATGGAAGCACACGTGTGAAGCTGTGTTCTGATGGCAATTGCTTTGGAAAAAGAGTTTTCCATGCTTTTTCTTTCACCAGTCATAGCAGTGTTCGTCAGACACCATTGCCATCTTCCTAAGTCAAATCAAATTCGTCCGATTTTCGCACCCTATCAATAACTCCATCTCTTAGATTGAACTCGTTCATTGCATACTCAGCCATCAAGCACATTCCATCCAGATTGCCGAACGTTTGTACCGCAGCTATGAGAAAACGCACTTCCTAAAATTGATCAGTGCTTTTCAAAAGAAGCGATTATGTGACACTACGAACCACTTGAAACTCAGATTGGGTTATAGCAAAAATATTCAGATAAGTAGAAGGAGCTTCATTGAACGTTCCAGTGAAAACCATGTTTTGGCAAAGGTATAATTCCGGAATGCACTCATTTCATCAACGTTTACCTTGATCTTGTCAATACATCCATTAGTTTGATTTATAATCGACTGGCGAACCATTTGACGATCAGCTTTGAACTTTTCTGCGAACATTTGGTCAAGAAAGTTGTCTCCTGAAAGGTATTCGATAAATTGTCTCGTCTATACCTTCTTTGTATAAAAAAATTGAGGAAGTATTTGGCAGTAAATGAGAAATTGAACATAGTGGTTTCGACAGCAGCTTCAGCTTAACTGGGTCCATCCCCCCGATTTGTGCTCCCTAGCTCATTATCGTTCAAGGGTGATTACTGATGGCGCCGTTATTGTGAAAAGCTGGCTGAGAGAAAGGCAAAGAGGGCCTAAGTGGTGCATTAAACTACAGGAAAAGGTCTTTGCTGGTTTGAATCTGGCCTTGAGTGTGAGTTTTGCAAACCCCTTTCTTATACTTTGTCGCGGAGTTAGCATGAAGTTTCAGTTTTTCCTAAATCGGATATGTTCAATTCATTTTATTATGCTTCGCAGAACTAAATGCACAAAGAGGATCGCGATTAATGGATTAGCTGGAAGTAAGAATCAAACAAGAAAACGACCGGCACCTCCTTTTAACGTAGTGACAGGCTGTCCAACAGTGAAAAATTCGTCCTCATCTAGGACATCCTGGGTTGGAAAGGTAGGACGACGACGAAAACCCTCAGTTCGTTGCTCGGCTTTACGACGGCGACGTGAACTGAAACTGGAAATTCAAGACTTGAGTCTTGCGAATCACATTATTTTATATGAATATTGATTATTCATCGGTGCAAAGTATCCGATCTGTTTCCTCCATCGGTCCATCGCTTGGTTAGTAGATTAAACGCAAGTGTTGCTGTCGTCCCATCCTGGTCACAACGCAGCAATTTCGAAAACCTGTGACACCTTAGCGCCTCTGCCTCGGAGCTTAGGGAAAGCTACATTGACCATAAACGCACGCACGAACGCAAACAACTGCATAGATGGCGCTAGCAGGACGATGGAGCGAGTGGGAGAATTACGGAGCTCTAATGGATATGTTGAGGCAAGCCATTGATGCATTGATAAGGGATGAAAGGAGAAATCGTCAAACGTTAAGCAATCGCAGAGGCAGGCGCCACACATTCAATTTCGGTAAGCAATGTGAGAGGTTATTGAATACATTTCTGACCAACGCAGTGGCTTGCGCTGAGCTACCTATGCATCAGAGCCGCGATTCTATCATATCAGGCAAGTTCGATACTAATTAACCAAAACCATAGAAATCGAAAGCTTCTTGTGCCCGAGGCGTAGAGTCGAACCAACGACCACGCTTGTATTGTAGAGCACCCATTTATTGATGTGAAATAAAAATCCACCGATAAATCACCCTCAGCGAGACCCGTACAGCTGTCCGTTAGGCGTCGTTTCTTAGCAGTCAATCGCCGAAAAGGGAATTGGATAAAACAAACCTATCTCCTTCAAAACAATGACACGCTTACATATAATCGCCGTTGCTTGTGATATCTTTGGAGACGTCGAAATATCGTCGTCGCGGATCCAACCGTGCAAGCTCTACTGCTCTGTTGGTCCAGATCTAAAACCGAAATCTTCATACGAACACATTTAAGCTTTCCAGAGGAGTATTGAGGCACCTGCTTCTCGTATGCCGTAAGTTTCTCCCATGCCGGTCTAGTCCTTTCGCACAGGATTTCGCGCGCTGGAGACCTAATGCCGTTAATACTTCCGTAGTGGTGCTCCACATACAGTAAAAAACCGCACTCCGTCTGAGAACCGTATATTATTGCGTATGCGTTTATCAGAAAGAGTTTACAAACTCACGCTCATTAGGTAGAGAAGACACTACGCTCGAAATATATCAAATTCGAAATGAAGCTCACCGCTTTTTAAGCTTTATATATCTTACGATTAGATGTTTTTGCAACGTTTATCATCCATTTGATTGTGCTTTATCAGGAAATCCACTCACAGATTTCATTTCCACTCATTCTTTTACTCACAGCCCTCACTATAATTATCCCTGCTTTCCTTACATATTACCCATCTCCACGACTAAGCTTTTTTACAACTCATTTCTTTTATTTCGTGTCGTGAAAAATCTCTTAACTTTCAGTCGAACTGTTTTTTGTTCGGTAATAACTCAGGATTCGTCACTTCTGAGGCATTCGAAATCTCGACATGTGGCTCCTGTGTTCACCACGAGGAATGTTTTTGACTACTTTCTGGACTGATCCTGTAATTTTTCTTACATAGTTCTTCACCTGGACAAGTTGGAAGAGATTTCAATTGCTTTCAATAGGAAGGATTTTAATAAAATCTTTCTCATAGGTGTTTACATTTCACCCTTTGTTTGTATCCAGTTGTTTTAAAACCAAGGCTCAAGCAAACAAATTGGAATTATGAAGGATTTGCAATGCAATGAATAATTTCAGCTTATGTTTAGACCGAAAACTTTAAAATTCGGAATTCAAAGACTAGCAAGAACTGCGTAGTGTTCAGAGTTATACGTTCTGTGCCTGAGGCTGTTTCGTTGGAAAGCGGACTACAATCCCATTGTGACCGTATTACTGAGTGTTCCTTGAGAAAGCAAATATCAACGCTCGTTATCATTTCGATGGCTTTTCAGACAGCAAAGACAAAGCAAAGAGGCTACTTGAAATCTTCGCCCACAGATTACAAGGGCTTTGAACAGAACAATTTGGCTACTTAAAAATCTGTTTATCCACTCACAGGTTCTACAGTTACTTCTTCAATTTTGCGCCCTTTTTTGGTACAAGTATCGAGGATCGATGAAATGTAGGACAGCATCGAACTTCTAGTGTCTTAAGAAGTTCAGACACTTGATCACAATAGATTGTTTCCTAGTATGAATTTAGTTCATCTAGTGACAGCACATTTCCTGCTCCAGACGAACCTTCGATTCAACAACACGCCTTCGTGATGATCATGAATCGACGTTTGTGTTACTTAGCTTTTTTCCACATGGTTGCCAACAAACCTGGTTGGACGCAACAATATCAAAAAAATTTCGCTGGAATTAGCTACATGAAGACTAAAAGCAAAAATTATGTCGAGCGTAAAAAAGTACCTAGACGTCTTCACATGTTTTTTGCATCGCAGCACTTCTTCCGTTCTTCTCCTTGTCGAGTAAGTCCGTCTAATAAAGAAGTTGCCCTATTGGGTCTGATTCGACCGTTTGTTAACCTCCTTTCTTATTGAAATGTCGAATGCTAGTTAAGTGTGACGCTTCATTTTAACGCAAACGCATTAATGAGTCCCTCATCTTCATTATAAGTATCTTGGTATATCGCTGACTCTTTCAAGGCAGCAGCTAAATCAGCTGAACCGTTGCGCTGTGCTAGCACTTAGTCGCTCTCCCCCTCTCTGAAATGCTGTCGATTTTTCTTCCCCTGTTCGTTCTCACTCGTGAGCATCCAGCTTCTGAGGTGGATCAGCTCTTTTCTCTGCTTAACTCTTTCCCGTTTATTAGAAAGTTTCATGAACGACGAACATTGTAAATTCAGCTGCAGTTTTATTCTGTGGATTACTTCTGGATGCTTTTACTAATGATTCAACACACTGGTGTGCCGTTTTTAATTAGAGCCAGCAATAAGCCAACACAACATGCCTGCTATTAATCTTAAAAGCAACTACTGCCTGTAGTAAATCTATCTTTGTCGCTACTTCTTAATCCCTTTATCAGTTATTTGAGTAGTTCACATCGTTGCTACTAACATCCGATAGATCACTGGTCTCTTGAAAACATATTCTGCAAATGAATATTCCTGAGTGGCAACCAGAATGTGAAGTAGCCACCCATAATTTTGTAATTTCGTAACTTTCACGAACGTTTCATCCCAGCAAAACTGTCTTAAACTATACATTCATTCCAGTTTTCCTACCAAGTCTGTCACTAATGTTATACATGATTTCATTTTCCTGCGCTTTACTTGCTTCATCAGTATACAACAACCGTACTTTCAACTTCTTCGCATGGCAACAACTGGACCTTTAAAGAATAGGTCTTTCCTACCTACGACGCGTGTGTTTTTCATAGAGCCCTAAAACTTTCCGCATGCGCACCAACGCCTCTTCATGAAAGTGGCGGAGTAACGAAGTGGATTTGCTTATGCGTTTGGTATCGAAGTAGTTCACTCCATGGTTGCGTAACGCATCTAGGAAAAAGATTTCATTTCTATGCAGACTTCGCATGTAACGTTGTGAAAAACAAAAACCGAAATCCTATAGTGAGCATAGAAGTCCTTTCTGTGTTACTATTCATTACCGTTGCTCTTCATCGGTTCATTATGCGAGACCTGAAATTCAGGTCTACGTGCTATTTGTCGCCTACACCAATCAGAACAACCTCTACTACATCGATTTAGCGAACATCGACGCAATTTTTCGTTCACTCATTCGTTCATTCATTCATTCATTGATCCATTCAATCATTCATTCATTCACTCATTTGTTCATTCATTCATTCATTCATCCGTTCATTTATTCATTCATACATTCTTTCATTCATTCACTTATTCAAGCAATCCCTATTCTCTTTAGTTTCAGGTGACTTATCAGCTTCCTATACCAACAACGTCCTTTGTGGCTCTGACCATACTGAAGAAGGAAATTTGCAAATTTTAAATGAGCGCCATTGCTTCATCTGCAATCCTATCGGCGTAGTCCTAGTTTACGTTATACACAATTTAAACCGTCAATCACATGTAACTACCGCTCTGATTAATATCAAGCGGCTCGATCGAGCACTAATAAACTTTCCATTGGCACTTGCCATAGGTTAGAGCTGCATGGTGGACTGCTGTCATCGAAATGGCACGCGAATACATCTCATCTTTTTCATGAGGTGTTATTCTCTGTTTTCCTTCGCGGAACACCAATAATTATTGATTGTTCAGAAGTAAATGGGCGTTTCTCCATAGATTTCATGTAATTTTTCCCAACAGAAAATTTTTTTGTCTTGCTATAATGTATATTGTTAAAAAGCTGATTTTATGTTCTCCTAAAATGATTTCATATTTCGTCAAAAATTAAATTTTCTCTCTTACCAATTTTGAGCTTAGGTGTCAAAAGCGAGTTCCCGTCCAGTTTTCCTTTATGACTTCAAACTCTGTCGCAGCGCAGCAGAGACGACTGGAAATATTAATGTAATTTGGAGTAAAGGTAGTGTTGGTGAATCAACAGTGCGAACATGGTTCCGGAAGTACCGATCTGAAGATTTGGACCTCGAAGTTAAGTTAAGGCCGCGTTCGTCCCAATGAACTTGACGACGACGAACTAGAAGCACTAGTGGATGTAAACACGCGATGTTCGAGAGCTTGCAGAACAGCTTGGCGTAACCACTGGGACAATTTCCACCCACTTGAATGCATAGGAAAGATAAAAAACTCGACAAGTGGATGTGAAATCGCCGTTTTGAAGCGTCGTCTGCTCTTATTCTGCACAAACGACCCTTTTCTTGATTAAATTGTGATATGTGACGAGGAATGGATTCTGTGCAACAGCCACCGATGTTCAGCTCAATAGTTGAATTGCCACCGGGCTCCAGAGCGCATCTTAAAGCCGAAATTGCATCAGAAAAAGGTATGGTGACTGTTTGGTAGTTTGCAGCCGTGTTGATTCATCGCGGGTTTTTGAATTCGGGGGAAAAGATTACAGTAGAGAAGCGTTGCCAGCAAGTCGACGAGATCCACCGTAATTTCTAACAACAACGACCGGTATTAGTCTACAGAAAAAGACCAATCCTTCTCCACAACAACTCCCGGTCTCAGATTGCGAAACCAACGCTGCAGAAGTTGAACGAGTTAGGTTGCGAAGCTTTGCCTTATTTGGCAAACGTTTTCGATTTTGGTTAACAAAGTTGTTTTAAGCAAGTTATGAAATTTTAAATAGTGTAGTTAAGAACGCTCATTTATTTCTGAACAATCTAATAACTAGCCAAGCTCATCCGTGAGCGGGTTGGCTATGTTCATGGAGAGTTTCTCTGCTCTCATGGCAGAAGTGTCGCTTGTAGTGTTAAAAAACAAAAAAGAATGCGAGCTCCTACGTGTGTGATTTTCAAGCGCACTGTAGCAGAGGTTTAAGTTTTTTTGGTTTTATGAAGAAATTGAGAACGCTTGTTTTCTAGTGTTTGTCAGCTTCTTTTTCCATCCTTATGTGATGTCCAAATCGGTATAAGCTCCTATTTTACGGCTTTTATAGGTGATACCTTCACTTGGAGTCGAAATGAAATGACAAGACAATACAACTAGCCGTAGCACATAAGATAGGTCTAAGACTTTTTACTAGATATTCTTAGTAGTTGTACCGTTTGAAGAGACATAGAGGGTAATGAGTGCCTGAGGAAAGTAGTGGTAACTCCCACGTCCGACTTTCTATTAACCTCGCAATGATTGAATAATTCCCCTCAACGACCAAACAACAACTCTAGCGATAGAAAGGTCCCGTTTATCCTACCCTTCATCTCAAATGATGTAAGTGCGGCTATAAAACGCTGCTTGAGAAAGGCGGGCTTAGAGAATTCGGTAAGCGTAGTTGAAATACCACCGAGTAATCTTAAGCGCCAGCTAGTACGTAACCGCCTATATGACCGTCTATGTGCAACTCAAAATTGCATAATTTGCTCCTGTGGTAGATACGGTGATTGCATGAACTCGGGTATAGTTTACCTGATCTCCTGTAAGGCGTGCGGAGACGAATACATTGGCGAACGGGCAAACCCCTCTGTATCGCATTAAAGAACACCTAGTAGGCAGACGTAAACCAAGTACACCACTAAGCACGCATAGGACCCAGAGACATAGCGGGGA